CTTCCACGGTTCAAGTCAAAGTGAACGAGTAGAAGTTCCAGATACCCTCAGATAGGCGTGATTTCAACGGTCATCGTGGCCGGAAGTACGTCAAATTACCGAAGTAATTCAACGACCTTTCAAACGACAATTTCCATCATCTTTCTCTCAAGAACATTCAATGCTACATCTCTTTCCTTGTCATGCAATTTCAGTATACTATCTTGCTCCAATCTATTTTCGGTTATTCTTTTATAAGAGAGAACGGTTCGGATTCGAACCCCGGACTTTAACGAACAGGTAGCGTATTCGGGTCAAATGGAGTGAATTAGCTGTACGTATCGGGAACTTGTTGGTTTTTGTATGACAAGTGTAACTGTATATATATATGGACGTACGTTCCTTGGCGGTGAATACATTTATGAACTTAATTGTAAAAAACGAACGTTCATGCAATATACTTAAATGTGAAAATTATATAATAGGAATTCTGTGCAAATAAATAATTAATCAGGGGGAACGACACTCATTTGGATGTATTTTTGCAGTCTAGTAATTACTTGTGATTTTCGGGGAAAAACATAATTGATGGGATTTTTTGAGTGTGTCGGGATGACGAAAATAGAGCAGGGATAGAAAAAATAGATGGGAATAGATCAGGCAATTGATGTGATGTGAGGGATGTTAAAAAATTTCAGAGGGATACGAGTCTGAATGCGAAGAGGATAGGTGTAAAAAGAAGAAAAAATTTCTGCAATGAAGCGTCCATGAATTACGTAACGCTTATAGGGTGAGAGGGTGTCACCTATATCGTTACGAATTATACATAGGGGAGGAGTAGTAAAGCTTTGCGTTACGTAACAAAGAGAACACTTTGTTTTTTTTTTCGTTTCTTGATGTAAAGTTTGAAAATACAGGTCTTTTTTGACGTTTTTGGTACAACAACGAAGGCTGTTTTAATTTTATAAATTGAGATTTTTGCTATCCTTGAACTTTTGAAAAGCAGGTACTCGATGGTACGCTGTTCTTTTGTTTTTGTTTTGAATATTAATAATATAATTAATTACCTAAAAATAAAAAAATACAAAACGAAATCAAAAATTAATTAAATGAAAAGGCGGGGGGGGGGGGTTTATAGAGCGTTACGTAATAAATAGAGAGGGGTCATTTTCAGTGTAAAGTTTTGTTCCAAACGGGGGGGGGGGGGTCAAAAATATTGATTTTTAGCGAAACGGAATTAATGGACACCGCTCGGGACACCGCCCAACTATAATAACCAAAGCTCACAGCTCAAGTGCTGAAAACGGTTCCGCACCGAATAAGTCGAAACTGCACAGTAGGAGGAACGGGTGATGGCGATGGATTACAAGGTTCCCGTTAATATTCCCAGCTGTATTTGGACGGGAATTTGATTCGCAATATTCTCGCACAGAAATACATCAGCCGGTGGGTGTCTTACTTCACCATTAGCTCTTTCTTATCCGAACCCTTGACCAGCAGCAGAGACGAGTAAAACTTGGGCCGAGTGGAAAAAATGACCTGAGTTCCTTTTCCACCTGCTTGTCGTAGGGGGTTTCATTTATAAGGCTTTTCCCGGGGCTAGAATCAGCAGTTCGAACGAAATCAACAGTTGCTTCGCGTCTGTTCGGCAACTTCCATGCTACAACACACAGAGACCCGTGCTCTTATCAGTCGAATTCGATCTGTTTGAGTCCGGGATGTGCGTTGCCGTCTCCTCCGTGATGCACTTGATGTTTTTTGCCCCCGAGACCGATTATAGACCAGTGGTCCGTCATCTTTTTTTAGTTTTCGCACCGATTTTTTACGTGGTGTTTGTTGTGGAGACGCAGAGTGTTGTAAACTGACAGTGACTATGGCAGAGTGCTTCGCGGTCGACCTAAAAACTTCAAAAAACTGCACGGCTTGCTTGACAATTTGTGTGCATGCAGAAGGGATAAGTTGGGAATAGAAATAATAGATAGGATGGATTGAAATGTTGTGCACGTTGAAAATTATATGAGAGGTTTGGGTAAAAATGGGATAATCCTGAAGTGTCGTTCCCCCTGTAATTAATAAATAATTAAATGGAAAAGCGTACTTGTTACACTGAGAAAAAGCAATCTAGCAGGGTTTTCTTGAAATGAAACACACGCACTATAAATTGTAGCTAATTTCGAGTTGCCGATAATAGAACAGCAGATTTACATGCAGTTCAAATGGAACGGTTGCCGAAGAAAAACTGGTTGCCGACAATACTCGCTCTCACTAGAGAAGATTGGAGCTTTGTAAAAGCGTTTCAAAACAGTTTTTGATAATTCTTTCGACTGAAATTGTTTGAGCAGCTGGCAGCAAAAGATTGTAAACAAACCAATACTGCATATGTGTGCGTTCCATAGAGAAAAAGGCTATAGAAAGAAGGTCGCTGCTTAGGTTGCCGAGAATACGTAAATTCCTATATCTATCTGTATTTCTATCTTAGTTGGTTCGCGTTTGACAGAAAATTGGTTCGTTTTCGCCCCCGTATTGTCTCCTCTTCTCTTGGAATTTTACATATACGAATGGTATTGCCTACGGCGACTACGACAGCGACTACGACGGTGATTACGACGACGAAAACAGTGAGTTTGAAACGTACCATTTGTCTAGGATATAACACCTTTGCCCGGCATTTCCACTGAATCTTCATGTCTGCTATCTGTCACTGTTTGCAAAAATATATAGCAGCAATTGCCTTTGTCGTAATACTTCCTATAACAAAAACAAATTTTCTTGCATTGCCATGGTCACCTGGGAGGAGGTTCGCGTCTAGTGCTTTCCCCAGGATTCATGGCCACCAGCTACCGCCCGTCCAGTCTCGAACGTATCAATCAAGACATCGTTCAGATTGCTAGCAATCTCCGACACCGGCGAGAGACGAGCGGCCGAGCACTTTTCCAAGCGGAAAACTTGCTGGTTCACGGCAACGTTGGTCACCAAATCACCATCAAAACTCGCGACGGACACATTATCAGCACTTTCCTGGGCTAATTCGCCAACCGAACCTGGTTAAAACTCGCCCACAGTGACGAGACTCTCGATAGAACTACACGCCGAAAGTGTGGCATCCGATCTCGGGGAACCAGGCTCCCAGGAGGCAATCAACTATAGCACAATTTCATGAACAATAGCACAATAACAGCACAAACGAATGATGTTTAATGCAAAAAATTCCAAATCAGCGGAAGAAAAACACACAGCAAATATAGGCACGTCAGATTTCAAGCACGGCTTACTGCGAACATCTGCAGGAGTTTTATGGACGTTACGTAAACTTTGGGACATTTCTGAGAACTTCAGTGCATTTTCATGAATATCAGAGATCATGAATGCGGGAACTTTAGGAAAGTTCCGAGAGCTTTAAGTAAATGTTGAGAAACTTCAAGATGTTCCAAAAATTTAAGATATCCCAGAGATTATCAGGGAAGTGTAGAGAGCATAAGAAAACAAAAGGAAACTTCACATAAACTTAGAGAACTTCACAGAACAGCAGAGAACCTGGGCAGTTTTAGAGATGTTTTAGGCAGTTCAGTTTCAAGAACATTAACAGAAGAGTAATGAGAGCTTCAGGGTGATCCTCAAAAATGTTAGCAACTATAAAATAGTTCCGAAGAATGAAAGTAACTATCGAAGTTTTCGGGGAAGTTTCATGAACAGACGGCGGGAGAACTTCTGTAACATTTCGGGCACTTCAGTAAAGCTTTGAGCACTTCACTGCCGTGCCATCAGCAGAAGGGAAACTGCAGGAACTTTCAAGTAGAATTTTGCTGCGATCTCAATAAACATAAAAGTTGAGCTGGTCGGCGGTGCAAACTAAGTGTGCATGGTTTGCGTCTGGTGGGTGATGACGAGACTCATTATGACGAGGGGACAAGACAATTACAAACTAATTATAACTAGGGGAAATAGCTCTAATGTTGGCCTATGGATCTAAGATTGGGCCCATCGCTAAAAACCTGCTATTTATCAAAATATGTATCTAGATGAACGCGTCATTGGAATGGTACTAATGGATATTTTTGGTTGCTATTGAAAATTTAGTAGAATGCTGAATTTATGTATGGGGCCAAATTAGGGACATTTAGGCTGACATTACATCCATTTCCCCTACATCTATTTTCTCTAAAATTCAAGAGAGAAATTGCTCTTGAATTTTAGAGACACATCATTGTCACATCAAATCGATCTATTGGAAAAGTCATCATGATGAGTAAAATAGCAAGAAGTCATCATTGCATTTCTCGTACCGTTTTACGTATTACGATTCATGATGACTTTTCACAGCGATGATGCTTCGAAAAAGAAATGGGTTTAATTTTTTTAGGAAATGAAATCAAACTGCAGACGAATCTAGAACCGGTCCAACTCCTACTAGGCATATAAATAAGTGAACAAAATCGTCTCTAACTATGCCTCGCATTTGCAACATTATACTGTTATGTAATCTATAGAATATACATAGTCCTACGAGACGTGAAATAAATTAACGACCAACGCTAAAATTCGTTCCATTTCCATCAATTATAAACTCTAACCAAACATTAATCCGCCATCAGCAAACATCAACAACTTGAGCCGGCATTCGCTCGATGCCTACCCCATCGAAACGACCAAGAAGCAAACCGGTAGAGCAACTTTTCAATGCAAGCATCAAGCAACAGGCTTTCGTGTCTCTTGACACTTAAATAGCCTACCCCCGAGGAGAGCCACCGGTCCGACGATGTAGCAGCTGATCACGTTAATTATAGGTAGGTTGAATGGTTGAATGAACAAAACACAAAAACCTGCATCGCTTCGAAGCCAGGAAATCATTTCTCAGCTAAACTCCAACCGAAGAACTCACCGATAAGCAGGCTTTGTGCATCATTCCAGACAGTTTTTGATTCGATTGCTTTGCTTTTCTACTTTTGAAAAGTGCCCCCGCCGATGATAAGAGAAACGTCTCATCACTTGAAATTTTGTTTGTGATAAGCTCTAAAACAATCAAATAGAGAGAGAGAGAGAGAGAGATGTCACGAAGGAAGCTCATTTCGACGACGTTAGCGTGTCTGCTAGTTCAGTTTGTTTGCTACTGCTGCTGTGCTGGTGTAGAAGAAGTGAAAAGTGAAATGGTGGACGTACAGAAGGCATTTACCGAGCATGAAGTTGTTCCAGATGTCGTGGATGCCGCTCCAAAGGAACTGCTGAAGGTGAATTCTAATTCTAAACGTATTTGCTCCGATTGGATTGCTCCAGAAATCTCATTTGAGGAAGATTTTCGACATGCTATGAACTTCTATGGTTTCGCTGTTTTCAGGTTTCCTATCCCAGCGGAGTATCAGCGAACGGAGGTGACGAATTGACGCCAACTCAGGTGAAAGATCAACCCACGCTGGAGTGGTCTGCCGATCCCAGTGCCTACTACACTCTGTTCATGGTTGACCCGGATGCTCCGGGTAGGACCGATCCGAAGTTCCGTTCGGTGTGCCACTGGTTCGTGGGAAATATCCCCGGGGATAAGATCGGAGAAGGAGATCATCGCATCGCGTTCATTGGATCCGGACCACCGCAGGGAAGTGGACTGCATCGGTACGTGTTCCTGGTCTACAGGCAAGAAGGTGGAAAGGTTGACCTCTCGGATGCGCCCCGTACTTCCAACCGAAGCCGGAACAATCGGTTGAACTTCCAGCATAAAGATTATGTGAAGAAGTACAATTTAGGCCCGTTGGTGGCGGGTAATTTATATCAGGCACAGTTTGATGACTACGTTCCGACGCTGCATGCGCAGTTGTCGTCCGGGACGGAGTGAGAACTTGTAATCCGGCAGCATGCGCAAAATATGAAATACAAATTTATCATACGCTTGAAACGTCTTTTTTGGATTATCACTGCCACGAAGTAGAAAGAAATTGATCGGGCAGATTACACTCGAGCATGGAGCACTGTACAGCACCGTGCTCAGCACGATGTTCGATGTTCAGCACGATGTTCCTTGAACATCCACAAAGTTCCCTAAACTTTTAAAGTTACGTCTTGAAAATTTACTTAACTTCTCCCATCTTCCACAATGTTTTTATCCATGATCTTTCAACTCGAGCAAGATCTCAGAACATCCACGACCTTCTCCAAACATCTGGAATGACCTTGAACTTTTTCTATAAATTTTGCTAAAAATCTGGACGAAACTAAGTACTCAAAACTTACAAAGCAAACCCTAAATTTCTAAGAAGTATGCTTAACTTCTACAATGCTCCCTAATTTTTTTAATTAGATTTCTTAAAATAACCCAAAGTTCCCAACGAAGTTTTCCAAACATTTAACTGGTTCCCAGTTCTACATAGTATTCCCGATTTTTTACTCATTAAATTTTCTTCAAAAATCTCTGCAGCTCCAAAGACATTATACTTTCCATTTGAGATTATCATTTTCCACTTTCCAAAAATCAGAAGCATCAGCGTTACGCCCAAACTTTCACGTTCATAGGGAAAATGGATGTAATGTCGGCCTAAATGACCCTAATTTGGGCCCATACATAAATTCAGCAATCGACTAAATTTTAAATAGCGACCAAAAATATCCCTTAGTACCGTCCAAATGACGCGTTCATATAGATAAAACGAAGAAATAGCAGATTTTTAGCGATAGGCCCAAACTTAGATCTTTAGGCCAACGTTAGAGCCATTAGATTGTCAGGCTTTGCTCGAGAAAATTTCAAGCTGAACAATAAATTAGGTCCTAAGTACCATTAACAAGATTCTCTTCGTGGGATAGGCCAGGAAAAAAAACGTGGGATTTTGGATAGGCCAGGAAAGAAAACATGAACTCTTTTTAAGATTAAAGAAAACGTTTTGTAATCGCGTGAAGAGTTTGGTTATATTTTTTTTTTATTAATTTATTTGATAAGGCTCAACCGAATTAACTTTACAGAGCCGAGGATTCTTGGTCACTATACAATATATCTTAAAACTATAGTCAAAAGGTACAACACAATAAACACTTTATCTTCCGCTATCCAAAAAGTCTCTTCCATCAGACAGGGAGCCGCTTCCAGTGGTTTCATTGTATGGCAGTATTGCCAACGGGGGTCAGAGCGCTTCCATTGCAGCAATGGACGCAAAACGTGGGCAGTACTCACACACTCATCACTAAACGGTTACTTTCCAAAGTCGACGACGCATCGACCGAAAGAACTGCTGATGAAGAACAATGAGGAGGACCACACAATGGTTGCTGCCGAGAAAACAGACGATCGCGTGGCACACATCGAGGGTGGCCTGCTTTTGTCGACAGCCGAGTGAACACTGAGTTTGGTTATAGTAAAAACAGAAAATGACATTTGTATAGGCACAGTGCCGTAGTTTGATGGGAACAAACCGAGCAGTGGTTGCCATCCCAACATCCCTGCTCAACAACAGCAAGGTCCAATTCCTAGCGCAGATAACATATTTGCTGAAAGGAACCAATGGTATGACCTTCAAAATATCCGCCTGTTGATCCGATGAGCAAAAACATTCCACTGCAATCACCGCTTGCTGAATGAGTTCTCTCAAGAAGTGATACTTGGTATCCACATGCTTAAGGCGTCCCGAGAGACGTCTATAGTCACGTGCATCTTCAGCTTTTCTAATTATTGATTGGATATCTTCCAGAATCGTTACAGGGCCCTTAGTATCGTGCCCAAGGTCCAGAAGAATTCGTTTCATCCATAGCGTATGACTTGCAGCTGTTACGACGGCCGCAAGTTCCACTTTGGCAAACGACAACGAAACCGTGCACATTTCCTCGTTGTCCAACTGATCGTGCATCCAAAAACATTACAAATACAGCCTGTTACAGATCACCGTTCGATGAGGTCATTTGCCCAGTCTGAATCTGAGAAAACCCGCAACAGCTCTTCTTCCGCTTTCACCTTGTACACTAGCCCGTAGTCCAGCGTGCTCTTTGCATATCTGTTTGAGGTGCATCCAGTGTTTCTCATTCGGGCAGGCCTGGCTGTAACTGGCTGTAATAGCATAGAGGTAACTCTAAGACTAGTAGGTGCCGAAGAAACGTGCTCAACTTTTTGGGTCAGCTCTGGTACTATCTGTGGTCCCAAGCGAGGTCCCAAACTAATCGATGCACCCTTCGAAACATGGAAAAATCCACGAACTCCTCATTTTATCTGTCAAACTTTCATAGAGAATCAAAACAAACATAGTATAGTACTAGAATTCCGAGTAGTGAGCCAATTTCAAATCGAAAGTTTCGTATTGATTGTTGGTAATAGTTGACGGCCGCAGACAAATCCGGCCGAGCAGTGACCGAAGCATACATTAGGCAGCCTATCAACTCTCGGTAGGGCTTCTCCGTCCTACGCTCATCTACTTCTCTCTCCAACCGCAGGCGATTCTCCTTGGGAGTCGAAATGGATTTACACTCCACCATTTCGTAACGTTTTAGCTCTAACTCTCAAGATATCTTTTCAGGCTGATCTTCATGGTTCCAGCTTCGGCGTTCCTCTCGATCGTTATCCCGAGAAACTGTTTCACCTCTCCAGCGTCAGTTTTCTCGAATTCCTCGCTAAACTTCCGTTTGATTGCCTACACAATCTGCAGTGATACTCCGACGATCAAAATATCATCCACATATACTACAAGAATGATTCTATTTGGTCCATCGTCACTGGTGTGCAGACACTGATCTTTGGCGCTCTGTTTCAATCTCTGCTTCTCGGTGAACTCATGTAACCCTCGATTCCATGCACGGGACGCTTGATTGAGCCCGTAAATGGGCGATGCAAACGGTACCCTGCTGAAATCTATCCGGCCAGGTCATGTAGATCTTCTCGCTAAATAAGCATGCCGTTCGCACATCCATCTGACGAACATAACACACGATCGTGGTTCGCCGCTCGGAGAGTGTCCAAATTCTTCTGTTCTCTTCTTTAGCCGCTCTCCAGTTGTCCCAATTGTCACACCATTTCAACTTCGCAATCGAACTCGGAATATTGTCAACATAACTCATAGCGTTTAATGTGAATCCAGAGTAATCTCGTTGCAGTCTTGCTTCCTCTAGGTTACCATCCGCTGTTCAACCATTATTAATAATATACAAACAAAAACTTCAGCCTGATGACACTGTCGGCACTGCCGGCACACGTGAGGCACACTGAGAAGAAATTGGTGCTAAATAAGGTTGTAGCAACAATCAATACGAAACTAACGATTTTAAATTGGCTCACCACTTTAGTAGCCTATTGGTCCCAAGCAAACGATTAACGTACCCTATTCTAGTTGAAATTCTATTACTACACTATGTTTGTTTTGATTCGCTATGAAAGTTTGACAGATAACATCAGGGGTGTGTGGATTCATGCAGAACATGCAGGGGTGAGTGAAATAGCTTGGGACTGCTTGGGACCGTTGTTCTGGTACTGAGTGAGCCAAAAATAATAATGATTTTCTTCGGGACCCAGTGGTCTTAGAGTTACCTCTATGGTTGTAGGGTGACCACCCCTTGGATATTTTACAGTTTTTCTTAAACCAACGGCCACCATCTTGGATTCCAAAATAACGTTAATCACCGATTTCTGGCCTCTACACGTCGTTTCCTATTCGAAACACCCACATTGTAGGGTATACACAAGTTTTTTTTTTTTCTAAAGCCGGAAGCCACCATCTTGGATTCCAAAAGGGCGTCAATCATCGATTTCTGGCTTCTACGGGTTTCCTTTCCTTCAATGCTACTTAGGATTAAATGTGTTATTCAGATTGATTTATTGCATTAATGTACAGGGTGTTCAATAACCTTTTAAAATGTGGTAAAAAATGAAAATACAAGATATTCTGTTCTGAGTCAATTTTATTGAAGTATCGAAGGATCGATCTTATATTTGGCTCTAGGATCGATCCGTTGATTAAATCAGTACCAAAGAATCGATCTTTGGTAGATCGATCTTTTGATTTTGACGTAGGACTACGTCTGTGATTTCTATATGGGGGTACATTTTGGAAAAACCGAAAAAAAGAGCATGTAACAAAATAATTAAAGATTTTGAACATTAATAACTCAGCTGCTCCTGGACCAATTTCAATAATTGTATCACCAATCGATCACAAATATTTCTAAAAACTAATAACAAAGCTTCCGACTGATGTTTTTCATCAATAAACTATTGAAAAAGTGGTAATGTCATGCATTGTCCAATGTACAAATAAAAAGTGATAATTTTATCACTGTTTTCATGAATAAACGTTCTTCCCAAACCCAGTCGTCATAATCGAGTACCACTTGGTTGCACATCATTCTGCTATAACCTTAAAAGATATAAAAGAGCGCTGCTGTCTAGCCTCAACTCATTTTCGCTTCGGACGGCGTGGTAGGCAGGCAGCAGAAGGAACAATAGCGGCAGTAGGAAGGTTGAGTAGTCCACTCTTCTACCTAATACCCCGTTCACATTACAGCCTATATCACGTAATATAGGCTGTCTTGCAATGAACACTCATACATAGGCTTTCCAGTGAAAACAAGATGTATGAGTGCTCATTGCAAGACAGCGTATATCACGTGATATACGCTGTAATGTGAACGGGGTATAACAAGCAACAATGACTGGTCGTGGCGAATGAGTAAAAGGTCTTGGTAAAGGAGGTGCCAAGCGTCATCGCAAGGTTCTTCGTGATAACCGCCATCCGTCGTCTGGCTCGCCGTGGCGGTGTCAAACTTATCTCCGGTCTGATTTACGAGAAAACATGAGGTGTGCTGAAGGTGTTCCTGGAAAATGTGATCCATGATGCTGTCGCCTACTCTGAACACGCCAAGCGTAAGCGGACATG